ATCCCGCCACGCGATGTATTTCAATGCATTTACAGTTATGTCGCGAAATGCTTTGAAATACATTTCGCGACGCTCATGCATTGAATTTCGAGGGCACGGAAATGCATTTCAATACATATTTTCGCTACATGAATAACCCCATTAGGAAAACAATTGAGTGGGCATCCTCTCTTGTTCGCGATGCTAACATGTGCCGAAATGTCCTCAACAGAAACTCTAAAGAAACGCCTCTATTCAAAAATCAACATTTCCTTAGAGCAGTGCTATATAATCATCCGACTTTCCAGTCATTTTCCGAAAAACTATTTCCATTCATGGCATTACCAAAAGATCATCATTGAAATGTTTCTTTTCTTTTGAACATAATAAATTTTTTGTTTTTTAAATGAATTAAATCGGATTTAGATATTACAGGCAAACCATTATAGCATCAAAAAACTCTGAATACGGAATTTAAATGCAATTTTTAACCGAAAATTAATTCATTGAAAAATCGAGGAAAAAGTGTGCGGCGACATTGCAATTTAGGCTCCGCCCCTGACTCCGCCCACTTTCCCCGGTTTTTTTCCCCGATTTTTTTCCCCGGAATTTGCGGGGTCTCAAATGCTCGAGTTTGTATTGCAAGCGCACCCTATCTGCACGGGCGAGAGAGAAGAGACCGAGGAAAAAAGAAAAGGGAACAACTCAGCAATTTGTATCGGCGAAACGCACGAAAGTGGAAGGTTTTGATGGAACGTGCGAGGAACACTGTTTCGCCAAAGACTGTCGCTGCGAGACCGTCTGACTTCGCTAAACAAGGCGCAATGTGAAATCTCGGAGCCTCGTTTGCCAAAAAATTTAAGAAAGCATAATTTAATTTCAATTGATGAATATGTTTTTAAGTTTCAATGTTCGCCGCAAGTAATGTGTCAGAGAGAAATTTGAGAAGAAGCTGGAATATTCAAAATTATCGGAAAAACTGCAATAATCCGCATTTATTGATGCTGAGAATTGCGACTTGAAGGCGTTTGGGTTTGGTTTCAGGTGAAATTTTACTGAAGATTTTTTGCAGCCTTTTTGAGAGAGAAAATGGAGAAAATCCGATAAAATTTTGGAAATTTCGAGATTTTTTCTTTTTTGAAAGAACGATTCTGAGAAGTTACAATTTTTAATGGATGGGACGATTATATTCTAAAACAGTGAAATTTGTAAAATTCGATATAAATTGAACCAAGAAGAAACAAGACGAACAGTAAGTGAATATAACCGGATCAAATTCTAAAAAATTAGGTAGTTCTTCCAGATATCTACATCAACTCGAAACGCCATTACAGTTTTATAAAGACCGGAAATGGATATATTCAATTCATAACTCGGTAAATGTAAGTTGCTTTTCAAGTTCGAAAAAGTAACATGCTTTTCAGGATTCCATTTACGATCGTACGATATTTTCACTCACGAGGGGCGGTTTTTTTTACTCTGGAACATTTCGCGAAATTACAAAGCCGTCCAAGATAACGTTTGATTTTATGACACTGGAACCGAATTTCTATTTCCTTCTATTATCCTCCCGATTATATGGATTACAAGTCACGAAAACATCTACTGATGATGATGAGATTTATGGGTCGTTTTCTGATGACGTGCGAAGGAATTAAAGATAATTTGTACATTTCAAAACATTCTTTTCATGTAATTACAACTTTTTTTTCTTTAATAAACTCTTTTTTACAACTATCCTGACGTTTTATTCGAAATTCGGGCTAATGAATGAAGAACGGCTAAACAACATGCAGTACGAAGCTCCGCTGTTTCGG